TAAACAGGATGTTTGGCTGTGTTTGCTGATCTTATTTTCAATGCCATCAGCATTTATTGAAAAATCTATGCTGGTTAGCAAATCAAATCACCCACAAGCAAAACAGACAAGGGAAGGGGAGATTTTTGCACTTATTAATGCTGCAGTCCATTCAAAGCATCTTGCTGTTCGCAGAATGTTAACTCTGCCATAGTTCTCAAACTTAAACCTGGAGGCCTGAACAAATACTGATGCTCTCGCTGAAGGGGTCTCATTTATTTGACTTGAGGCATGGCCTGGGCACTGGGGTCTTGAGAAGGTTCCTCATGCTCACAAGTGCAGCTTGGGTTCTGGGCTTGAGAACTACACCCGGAGAGAAGCGAGCAGTTGAGTGTTGGGAGCCTGAGCTCTGGAGTCAACCCATCTGGTTGAAGGCTCAGCCCTACAGTTCCTGACTGGGATCCCGCATACTTAATCATATTGAGCCTGCTACAGTTTGGGAATGAGTTGAAGGGTGGAGACTTCATCTGATTGAAAGAGGGGGCCTTTGGGAAGTGACTGGGATTGCATGAGATCACAGGGTGAGTCCCCTTGACTGACTCCTGATGGCTTTATATGAAGAGCAGGCAAAGGGACACATGCTCTGTGGTTTTTTATTAAAGAGAGTTTTTGTTACAGGGCATGTGCACTTGCCAGAGAGAAAGAGAGACAGAAAGCAAGGAATCACCCTCAAGGGGGGATGGTCATGCATAATCCCTTCTCCCATTTCCTCTCAGGATTTTGGGCCCACACACACACACACACACACACACACACACATACACACGCACGTACTCAGCATGTTTTTAAGCCACTGGGTCTGGGATTTGAACCACAGTCGACTACATGGGAGTCCAGCGACATAATCATTATGCCATCTGCTGGTCCCAACACATGCTCTGCTCTCACTCTGTCTCGTCACGTGATGCCCTGCTCCACCTCACAACTCTGCAGAGTCCTTTCCAAGAAGATCCTCACCAGATGTGGCTCTTGCCTCAAACCTCCAAAACTGTGAGCTAACTAAATCTCTACTTTTCATAAAACATCAGACTAGGATATTCAGTTATTAAGCAACAGAGAACAAACTAAAACAAAGCCTTTAAATCATTCTCTGTAAAATAAAATAATTATTACTTTTCAGGTTCATAGTTGGCTTAAACATGGAATAGTACTAAAAATTAAAATATTCTTCTGTCGACCTTTTTTCCTACAGAATTTTCAAAGGTATTACACTTTGTTGTTTATAGGCTTATCTATCCACATATTAATTAAAACCACAAGAGACAGAGCCATGACTCTCTGGATTTGTACATCAGCCCCATCATTTGCTTGCTAAATTACCATGTGTAATTTAATTAACTTCTCTTGAGCTTAATTCTTTCATTGACAAAATAAGAACAACAACAGCACTCATTCCAGTAGGGCTTTGCGGGGATCACGTGGATGTAAACGTATAAGCACCACATGTGACGCCTTACATGGAGTAAGTGCTCGTGTCAGCGCTGGCCAGTACTCACTCTTGACTCCTAGGAAATGAGCCTTAGCAACTTACCCTCAGAATGTGACAGATTCTGGTCACGTGAGGAGCTCACTAGGAGAGCAAGGTTGGTACTTGGAAGGTGTTCGAAAGCAGTTTTAACTATCTCTCATGAAATTTTGTTAGTGAGTGAGACTGGTCCATGGCTGACTACTCACCTTGCATGTATATGTCTGACACTGAGCTTTGAAGGTGTAGCTTAAGGAGCTCAAAGAGGCTTGAAAGAGTAGATTATGGGGAAAAGGAACATCTTATTACGTAAGTTTTGGTAGTAAGAGGTATTGGTTACTTATGTGGAAATGAATGTGTTAGAACTGCTGAAGTTGGCTGACAACCTTTATGGGAATGTTCTGGAGCACCATGAGTCCAGAAAGGCTTTCCTCTCCACACCTGATGACAAGACCTGGCTTAGATTTCAAAGCTTCCCTGCAGTGGTCAGACTTCTATAAAGCTGCCCTTTCAATAAGTTTTTAGTCCCTTCATAGAATGAACCAACATTTTTGCTTTTTGACAATATGAAAATATGTATGCACTCAAGTCTATTAGTTTTAGGAATCTTTGCAATAAAAAACAAAAACTAAGTGTTAGCTCAGTAACAGGATTTTGGCCAAGGGAGAAAGTAACCACAGTTGTAACATTGGTGACTATAAACAAAAATTCCATAACTCTGAATTTTACTGAAAAAATAAGTATTACTAATATTGTAATTTGTACTTAAAAAGGAAAAAAAAAACACAAACATTTCCTAGCTCTAGGCCCTGAAACAGTGATTAACCTAGTATCAGTGAGCACACGAAGCACCAAGATTTTGACTTCTAAATACAATTTTCTGTCAAAGATAATCAGAGCGCCTGAGCAAAATGACTGATTTCAGGTCATTGGGTAAGAGTTATAAGGAAGGCCTAAACTATCTTGTCAGTCAAATACTGGATAAGTGGAACAAGGGGGTTTATTGTAGTATTTCCCTTTACTTTTGCAATGTTGGAGATTTTCTTTTCTTTTATTTATTTATTTATTTATTTTTATTCGTTCATTCATTTTATTTTGATTTGACCAGAGAGAGACGCAGAGAGAAAGAGAAGGAAAGTGAGAAAGCAAGCCACCAGGTCCAGGACTTGAACCGTGGTCAGCCATGTGGGAGTGTCTAGCGTCTTAACCACTACACCACCTGCTGGTCCCGCATGTTGGAGATTTTCTATGATAAGAAGGTAAACATTTTTAAAAACTGTGAGGAATGACCTAATTATTAAAAGTAACTTCAGTATGAAGAGAAAATGTGAAAATGAATATTTAGAAATGTTTCCATTGTTTGTAGTTTTGTGAAAGAAAAACATTAGAAATAGCATTTTCCAATTTACAAATGATTGCTTCAATGGCTTTTGAATGCTTTTGTTAAAAATGTGAAAGCACAATACTTTTCAAATTAGTGTTCCTTAACAATGAATTGACACATATATTATGTGAACTTTCATAAAAGTTGCATTATTAGTAGATATAATTGAAAAGGGAGTATCATAATTTATAAAATCTACAGTGCAAATAGCTTCTTCCATTTGGATCTGTTTATAATTTTGAAGTTTTTTTTTTTTTTTTTAGCTATGAATGATATTAAAACTAAGTAATGAATTAAGTTGAACTTAAAACCTGACCTATGAATCAAGGTATCACATCATTTCAAAATGTGATTTTCAAAATCAATGAAGCATAGTTAATCATATTGCAATCATTAAAATGAAGTGAGGTAGGGAGTGCTACCTTGCTCTGTATATAAAAACTTAACTCAAAATGGTTCAGCAAACTAAATGTAAGATCTGTACTACTGGAAGAAAATAGGAATAAATCTTCATGATCTCACGTATGGCAATAGATTCTTATATTTGACACAAAAACATGAACAACTAAGGAAAAATATATAAATTGAACTTCATCAAAATTAAAAACTTTTGTTCATCTAAGAATGATAATAAGGAAGTAAAAAAAAGACATCTAGAATGGGAGAATTACATGCACATCATATATCTGCTAACAGTCTAATATTCAGATATATATAAAACTATTATAACTCAACAACAAAAAGATAAACCACACGATTTAAAAATGAGCAAAAGACTTAAACAGACACTCCTGTAAGGACGATGAGCCAGTGGCTAACAAGCACATAAGATATTCAATAGCATCAACCATTAAAGAAGTTAAGATCAAAGCCATAATCAGGTATCGCTTCACACTCACACTAGGATAGCTATTAAGAAAAACAATAGGAAAATAATAAGTACTGGCAAGGCTATGAGGAAACAGAAACCACTACACATTGCTGGGGCAATATAAATTGATGTCGTAGCTGTGGAAAACAGTTGGAATTCTCTGAAAAGTCAGACACAGAATTCTAATTCCAGGAATGTATCTAAGTGAAATGAAAACGTATGTCTACACAGAAACTGCACATGGATATTTATAGCTGTATTCATTATAATAGCCCCCAAACATGGAGACCACACAAATGCCCATCAACACATGAACAGCTAAACTGTGGTCCATCTCTACAATGAGCTATTATTCAGCCACAAAGAGAAAGGAAGCATGAATACATGCTACAACTTGGATGAACCTCAAAAACATTATACTAAGTGAAATAAGGCAGATAAAATGTCACATGTATGAATCCTTTTACATAAATAATCAAAGTGTTAATATATATAGAGAGAAAGCAGATTATCAGTGACTGGGACCAGGTCCATGGAGAATGGAATGACTACTTAATGGGTACGGGGTGTCCTTCTGACGTCATGAGAAAGTTCTGGAACTGTGTGTGTGGGGGGGAGAAGGGGTGAGAACCACACTATAAATGCACTACATGTCACTGAATTGTATACTTCAAAATGGTTAATTGTATGTTACAAGTATTACACCTCAAGTAATTATATATGTAATAACTACACAACAAGTAACAGCTGTTTGTAATGTTAGAAGATAAAAATTTTAATATTAAGTAGTCCAGTTTTATCTCAATCATCTTTCATTTCTTTCTCATATATATTCTTTCATATATTTTGGGTATATTTTCAACACTTTAGTGATGGGGTGCACAATTAAAAATTGGGATACACTATTCTAGATCCAGGCTAATGTCTAGAACTTGCAGAGTGAACCTAACCCACTGACATACTTTGTGTACTCTAGCGTCACAATATTTTGAGATGTATGCCCAATGCCTTTAGGCAAGTTTGCATTTTCTAGTTCAAGACTGTTCTCTACAGTCCTTTAACTTTGCTGATCCAAACATTAATGTTTCTTACCAAGTAATGATCAGACTTAAATGTTCAGCCCCTCTGCTGGGAATTAGGTATAGCTAAAATAGTTTTGCATCAATAAGTATTTTTCTTTCTTTTTTTTTTTTTTTTTAAACTTGTATTAGGTATAAAAATAAAAATAGTGCTAGACTTACCCACACAGGGCAGGGAGTAGCCAAGCTCAGGGTCATGAACAAACTGCCGGTCGTTGAGTCTGGTCACACAGTACAAGTGGAAACAGTCCAAGCAAATGACGTGGCGGTGGTTGCACTGGAATACCAGGACAGGACTTCTGCACGGAGAAGAGAAGATGTTTGCTCAAGCACCTCCATGGATGGGAAGGCGACATGTGCCTCAGGACAATTTCTGGAGTTAGGCAGGGTTGCTCAGAGCATGCTCTGTGTAAAGACCTGAGCTTATGTATACCAACACTACATATGAAGACCTAGAGGCATCCTATCAACTGCATATGTAAGAATCCAGAAAGATTATGCAAAATGCAAATTATGGAGAAACTATAAGTGGATTTCAATTTTTTTGCAACGAAGTAAGCTCCTACTGTAATTCTAGTTTTCCATAAACTTTTTGAAGTCCCCTCATACCTCACTGATTTTCCTTATTTTATGTTTTATGTTAACACATTTATCAATCTGGTTATTTATTTATTTATTTTTTAGAAAGATTTTTTTCTATAGGGTGTGTGTGCTCTCCAGAGAGAGAGAGAGAGACAGACAGAGAGACAGAAAAGGGGGATGGCAATGCTGCAATCTCTTCCCCTCCACTGTCCTCTTGAGATTTGGGACACACACACACGCACACACACACACACACACACACACACACACACACACACATGGCTGGTGTGAATTTGAAGCCACCAGGTCCAGCACTCGAACCACAGTTGACTATGTGGGAGTCCAGTGATGTAACCATTACGCCATCTGCTGGTCCCTATCAATCTGTTTAAATCTGAGCTTGTTTTCAGGAAGACTTCTCTGACTGGTACTTCCCCATGAACCTAGTAAACCACCCTACCCACTTGTGTATATTTCTGGTGATTCATTATGACTAATGGTACTGATAAAGTTCACCTCCCTTATAGACTTGATCTCCTTGAAAGTAGTTACTGTGTCTGCATTACATTGATATTCCCATGGTACAGGCATTGTAAGGCTTTAAATACATACCCCTTGAATCTTGTTAAAATAATACATAGAGCCTGAACTTCCCAAAAGTCAAAAGAAAAATGACTATTTTACCACAGCAGGTATCTACAACAGCCACTCATGTTCCCCTGACAAAGGAAAAGTAGAATTTAGAAATAAAAGATTCTCCAACACAAATTCGTCTACAAGATTTTGTTTATTATGCCATCCTTTATCCCATCCAAATATTCAATTTATCAAATTATAGGTAGGGGATTACTAATAAATCCCAACTTTTAGATTTCCTTAAAACATTCTGAAGGAAAAAAATCTCAAAAAAACCCAAAAATGTACTTTTGCTGGGAAATGAACTACCCGAGTTTATGTCAAACAGGAGACAAACTGAACACATTAATTTGAGATTAGCTCCAAGGCAATTTTAATAGGAAGAAAGTTATTGGAGTCTGTTTAGATAAGCCTATTCCCTGTGTAATGATAACAAAGTACAAAATAAACATGTTCATTTTAGGTCCAATTCTTAACAACTACACGAGCTCTTCAAAAGCCCTTCCCCTAGAAAAATTAATATTAAATGTTAATATTATGGAAGATAATTCCTTAATGACTAAAAGATTTTGAAAATTTTTTCATCCCACTTTTTATTTTATTTTATTTATTTTTCTAGAGAGGTTTTTGCTCTAGGGTGCGTGCGCTCACCAGAAAGACAGAGAGGGACAGAGAGACAGAAAAAGAGAAATCATCTCCCAGGAGGGATGGCGACGCCACAATCCCTTCCCCCATTCTCCTCTCAGGAGCTTGGGCATGTGTGCATGTGTGCCCGGGGTGAGTTTAAGCTACCAGGTCTGGGTTTCAAACCGCGGTTGACTGTATGGGAGTCCAGCAACATAGCCATTACACTAACTGCTGGTCCCATCCCACTTATTTTAAAACAATGTCTAATACAAAACACAGTGGGGAAAAAAATCCCTTTTTGGGGATTTTTTGCCATATGGCATGTACACTAGTGAGAGAGAAAGTGAGAAGTCACCCCCTTCATTCTCCTCTCAGGATTTTGGGCATGTACTCATACATGCCCAGCATGATTTTCAAACTTCCAAATCCAGGGCACGAACTGCGGTCAGCCGTGTGGGAGTCTAACCCTGAACCAGCACATCACCTGCTGGCCCCAAATCCCTTGATATTTGAATGTCACGGATCTATACGTCAGTGGCCAACTTGACCTAAGCAAGAGGGTCCCTAAACACGTTTATATGCTTCTCACGTTCACTCCCTCTCTGAACCTATGAAATTCTTTTGGGGCTTTCATTTTCATTTCCAGAGTCTAGTCAATGAGGCGTTGCCCATGCTCTGAACTTTTGATCTTTTCCTTTGAACAACTTTCGCCTTAGAGACAATAGCATAGTGCTTTCCTGTTTCTAACCAGTCACTCACACACTCAGGCACAAGCACACACGTACATGACTCACTCTCCGAACCTACGTAACTGCTATATTTTCCTTTCTCTCATAGTTGTGTGAAAATATTTTCCATTTTGCTTTTAGGATCTTGGCAGACTAAGCCTTTATTGACCCTTAATCTGCTATCAACACATGACCATTCTGGAGAAGACATTAGAACATTTACAAAAATGGCCATATTGTTCAACAAGGTTAAAAAGAAAGCTTAGAAATGACCTTGCAGGGAAAATAAAAAGAAAACTTAGAAAGCCAAAGCAGTGGGCCCATGACCAACTGCCACAGTGGCACAGAGCGGTGTGAGGGTGCCTGCTACGCAGCCATTGGTCTAGCAAATGTGCTTTGCCACCCTATCACTAATAGGAACCAGAACAGGAAGAGCCCTGTCTCACAGGGGATGTGGACAACAGGACGTGTTTTATGATTTTCCCTCGCAGATAAAATACAATCCACAGGGACTGAGTCTTATCTAGAAAATCCATAGAACATCACTTATTCAACTTTGTTAATAATATTCTGCAGTATGGGGCAGATTAGCAAGAAATGGAAAATGTTTCAGAGGCCATAGCAGGAGATAAACCATATGCAGACTTGGGAGCACACCACCTTAGGGAAGACTTTAGAGCGCCAGGGCCGGAGCATGGAAGTGCCCACAATTCAGAATAAATGACTCTTAGTCCAGCTTACTCCTCCTACCTCTGGGAACAAAGCACAGCACTTGCAGGCCCTGCGAGAATCTGATTCCCACAGAGCAAAGCATGTGCCCCCAGGAACACAGGAAGAATTCTACTAAAATTGACCTAGAGCTGTGCCAGGTCACTTCGAGCTCCTTGAACTGAGTTGTAGACAGAAGAAGCATTTACCCTATGGATAAGGCAACTGATCTCATCCATCAGGGAGTGGAAAAGCTATTACTACCTACCGGGGCCTGGAAGAGTCCAGGGGGCCCCTGGCACATCACACAGTACTTCCCTCTGCTATTTAGTGGCAGGTAGACAAGGTAGCTAGCAAGGCTTGGGGAGTATATTGGGCCAGGACCCGAGACTCCTTTAGGATTTACTTATTGCAACAGTGAACATCAATAACCCTTACTATTACAAAAACAAAGACACATCAGAGGGTCTTAGTGAATGTCTACCTTGAACAAAACTTGTAGAAATTGGCACCAGTGAGAAGTGAAGGGGTCAGAGGCTGAGATATATGAAAGCTGTCAGTGCCAGAAGTGAGGAGAGTTACTTAACTTCCCCAAAGGAAAGCCACTGAGGGCATGGTCTGTGACCTGGGATATGAAACCGCCTACACGTTTCATGAATCCGCAGTAGAAAAGGAGGAAATGTACAGGTTGCAGGGAGCCTAAAGGACAGACAAGTCACCCAGGAATTTTCACTGCCTACCTACCACTATCCACCACTACCCAGTTGGTGTGTACGAGGGTTCCTCAGAAAGTTCATGGAAATGTGTATGATGAAACCTGCATGGATTTCAATTATTTTTTGCACCAAAAAAATCTCGTGCTTTACTTTCATTTTTTTTCATGAATTTTTGGAAGTCCCCCCATGTCTCACACACACACACACACACACACACACACACACACACACAATTATGGGTATAAATAAATAGGTAGATAGACAATGCTATAGATAAACATATATGTTGATTACAGTTACACGGATAATGATATGGATACGAGTAATATATGCATGAATTTCACTAAGACTTAGATATCACGTGCATGTATTTCACAGAGGGTTTCTTGATATAGTTATGAGGTAAGACTGCTCATCTTCTATTAAAAATGTTCCTACTAGTTATGAAAAATTAAGTGAGGGATAAACACAGCACCTATAAAAGGGTTATTAGTTTAATCATCTGAGGAATCTGAGTAAAAATCATTTCATGGCTAGAGAGTTTACATAATTGACTTCAGAAGTGCTAAAGAGGAAAGGGGGGAAATGAACACAAATGAGTACCTACTTCGGGTTAGGTACATTGCTAATAACTTTTCAAACATTTTCCCACTTTCTTCTCCTAAAACGAAGCACACCTTCTCTGCTGCCATTCTGTTCTCTGCATCTCCACCCACTCCAGATGGGACGGTCTTTCTGTAGTCTAGCATGCATCCAATTCCTTACCTTCTAAACACGTTAGTTCATCCATTCCCATAGCATAATACTAGTCCTACTTCAAGTACAAGACTTAAAGTCACTAGACCTCTAAAATTCTCACTTAAAGGCAAGATAAGGTTTTCATTTCAATATGTAAGATGTTTTGTAGGATAAAAACTACTAGCTGTGAGCTCAAAGACCCCAGGCTGAATTGCACCAGAAACCTGAACAGAAATTTGATTATTTTAGGCCTCACCAATCAAGCATACCCACGAGATGATGACGCCCTCTTGAACCTGTCACTGAACTGACCATGTGCCTTGAATCTCTGCCCCTAAATTTGATCCTTAAACATGTATGTGGGGAACACCTCAGGGAGACAAGGTCTTTTCAGCATGAGTTGTCCGCTCTCCTTGCTTTGTGCCTTCCAATAAAGCTATACTTTTCTTCATTAAAAACAAACAAACAAACAAAGAAAAAACAAAAGGCAAGCGAGAGAGAGATCTACAAAGAACTTTCTCTGGAGCTCAATGCCTCATGGTTTTCCATTTTTCTTTACTTTCC